GGTCGGAGAGGGAGGTGAAGAACCCAAGGAGAGACCCAGGCCCCACTGGGATCATCGTAGGTGGTGCTTTGGCCACCTGGCATCAGTCAGTCTCAGAAATCCACCTTGCCTGCCTAGCTGCCTGTCCTGCCCAGGAACGTCACAGTCCCACTGACACCCCAGCAGAGTCAGCCCCAGCTGGCCTGGGGACCCTCCTTGCCCATCTGCTGCCGGTCTCCTGTACAGCTGGCCATTAGATCTGGGGGGCTGGGGCCCCAGCTGGTGCTTGTTAGCTTGGCTCCCCCTTTGGGAGGCTGCTGAGGAGGAGACCAACCTCCACCCAGGACAGGGGTCACAGATCCCAAACTGAAAGCAATTTAAGGGCATGGGGGAGACAGTAATTATATGTTCTGTTTCCAATAGTTAATTACCCAGCTGGCAAAGAGAAAGGAAAGAGGAAAAGCTGGGGAGTGGGGGGAATAAGGAATGTGTGAAGGGATATGGAAGGGTGTGAGGAGTTTGCTGCAGGGCCCTTTGATACAGGGGAAAGAGCCCCAGGCTGAGAGGCTAGAGACTAAGGGCCTGTCCCAACTCCAACATGACTTTTTGACCAGAGGCAGGCAGGTACCTGCTTCTTTGGACCTCAATTTCCCTGTCAGGGTAATGAGGAGTAGAACTAGATGTCTTCATTCATTCAGAAAATATTTACTGAGCAGCCAATATATGCTAGCTAGTGGTCTGGGCACTGGGATGCAGTGGTGAACAGAATAGATAAGGTCCCTATTTCCAGGGACCTCACATTCTATAAAGGCCTTTAAGTGCCTGGTTAGCTCTTAACTGTGCTTCTGTGATGATGGGTCATGGGAATGTGAGAGGCAGAATAGAAGATACACAGATTAAAACCTTGGGTTCTGAAGTTAGCCTTTCATGCATTCATTCATCCATTTTTTTCCCCATAAAATGTTGAAGGCCTGGCACATGGTAAGCACCAAATACCTGTTGTTTTCCTCCTGAGGCATGGAATGGGCAGTTCAGCTGGGCTTCCTGGGGACCTCAAGCCCCGGCCTTTCTCATCATCACTGACCAAAGCTGGCCTTTTGCAAAGTTACTGAACATCCTCATCAGAAGTTTTCCTGAGGCGCCAATCCCCAGTTACCTTCCCTAGCCCCAATCCTGGGTCCCTGGCTGGGGGCTGGGCA